GAGCACGTACGTTACTTCCCAAACGATTCCTCTTTGCCGTGAAAATCCCAAATGAGTTTCCGACGTATTCGCCAAAAATTTCTGTCGACTGTCTCAGACATCTTTGAGCACCCGGTATTCGTATTCTCCTTCTCTCTTTCTCTCTCTTCGAACGAATATCCAAAGCTCGACTATAACTAGGCACGTCCGCGCGAGAAGCTTTGTGTTTGGGGCGATGATCGATTGTTCGATGTAATATCGAGTGTATATTATCCGAACGACAAACATATCGGCATGCTCCGTTTGCAACGTGCCAATCTCCGGCTGCACATCCCTTCGCTTTTAACAGTCTACCGAATCGCATGCTGTCATGACGATTCCGCACATAGTTTCGCGATATGAATTCTATTGTACAGTTTGTGTAGAATATGAATCTAACGACAGTATCTAAATAACTGATTACATATTAAGTACGGAAACAATTATAAAAAAAAGTTCTGAAATAAAAAGAATGAATGCGAGGAAAAAATGGCAGAAACACGAAGATCTGAAGAATTGGAATAAATCGGCAATTTAAATGTTGGACGTAACGGGAATCCACAGTTTACAAAATCATTCACGGGCCGAAATTAATTCCTGAATCTCATCCGTGTATTCGATGTATTTCCCGAATACGAACGCGTATTCCATTCTTATGCACACATGCCAGAAGGCGACCAGACGACGACTGGTAATGCGACAAGAACATTTATACGACATTCGTAATACAGGCAGTGTAGAGAAAAGAATTCGTGTATTTTATGGATTTGAGAGTTGGCTCGGTATTATACATATAATAGAAGACGACGTCGCGGGATGACGTATCGAAACTTCGGGGTTTATGTTTGTATAAAACCGACGGAGAAGACTGTTATGACAGTCATAAAATAATTGCTATGACCCATGCCGTTCCCTGTTTTATTATCGTACGACAGAACGGAGTACCATGTCGTAAATTAAACTTGATATTCTTATCTCGTGTTATTTGACGCACGACGTGAGACTTTATTCCCGCCTTTATTCTGTATTTAATTATTTCAACATGTTGTATAAATATGATGAATCCATAATTGAGTCGAGACAAGCGATAATACGGTCGAAACTCGACTCAAAACCATTTGCGTTAAGTAACTGAACGAGCGACAGAACGTAATTAAAAGGAAGATGGAGGATAATGTGCCGTATACGAACCAATTCGCGATCTAATTACGCGAATAGCGAGCTCAAATGCCATTCTCGAAATTGTCGACCGGCTGCTGCTGTCTCCCGCTGCCGCTACTGGTAATCACCTTCCGTCCCGGAAATGACGATCAATGTAATGACGTCGACGGCGTTTTTTCCATCGGCGTAGCGGCGCACTAGCTATCTGCAAAAGCGGCATGGCTGGCCAATTTATCGGGCATTAATGATGGCGACCGACGGCGCGTTAAGTGAACACCGTTTATAATCGCGCTGATTACAGCCAGGTCCATTGATTGTCCAAGCATAACCTTGGCAACGCGGGCGAGATGCGGTCGTCCGGTTTTCCCCTCTGGGGTAACATCATCCCTCCGCTTAGCATCGGCGAGAGGGTGAATTTTCGGACCGATGGATCCGTCTCGCTTCGCCGACGCGTTAATGGAACGCATCAGCGTTTTGCAAACGCGCCCGACTCTTCGACGCGGTGTTCGACACAAAATCGTTAATACAAAAAGAGAATGAATAATTTTGCATAATAATTCGAACGTGTCCTTCTATTCGGTGAAAAAGAAATTGCACGTGTAAAAAATTGATAGCTCATATAACACATATATTCGCAAAGATTTAGTCTGAATCTCTGAATATTTGTTACAAAGGAAATATTGATATCCGGTGACTATTCATATACGTTTGCCTAAACTGCGAATAATAGTTTATTGATTTTTCGTAATAGGGTCGTCATACTGAAAAGCGCACAATCGAGATCCCCTTCTCTCTTTGAATCTTAACCGATTGGTTTTTACTATTGTACAATCGATCTTTCTCTCTATTCTTTCATCTAAGATTAAAAGCTACGCTTTTAATCATAGCTGACATTTTTTATCATAGCCATCCTTTGTTGGTCTACCAAACCGAACTCAGGATATAAAATCCTCCAGTAAATAATTTTTATATAATATTATTTTGAGTTATTATAATTTTATTTTTATACAAAGAAATATAAGAGAAAAATCTAATAGACTATCGCTTTGAAGTTTTATCTTCAAGGTAGACTTATCAAGTTATAAATCGTATTTTTAAGCTTAGAGTTGCGAAGCTTCCGATTTTCCACCTCCATCAGGCATTTCTCGTACCGTTTGATATAATATATTATATACATGGAGTCTAGCCACACGTCCGAAGAGATCGAAGCCCTTTGCGAAGTTATTTCAAGACGAGAGCCAGAGAAGTCGCACAAAGCGGAGTCTCGCCGTGCTTCGAAATCGAATTACGCGGCGGTTGAGAAACGACGCGAAGACTGAAGGGCGAAAGATAGGTAGGAAGATACAACGAAACAACAAGGGAGTTGGGCCGATGGGGGATGGAGAGGCCTCTCTCTCACTTTCTCTCTGTCTCTCTCTCTCTCCGGGTATAAAAACGAGTTATACTCCACTTCACCTTGATATATTTAACTGCCTTTGTCTTTTATCATATAGCGGCGCTTTCACCCCTTGAACGCGTTTAAGGGAAGGTGGAACGTGGGAATCTTGTTTTTTTTTCTTTTGGGAAAGCTTATTTAACCACTTACACTCTATCTACCAAAGAGAGATCAAATAAACTAAGCGAAACCACGTTAACATTACAATAATAATGGCAGCAATAACAAATCTAATAATAAGTTATTTTAGCTTCTACGAGATTGTAGTAATGCAACTACAGTGAAATCAATTACTTCTGTGATAATTTCTTATCATCGATATTATACTGATATTTTATCGCAAGTCTTATAAAATTTGTCTCGAACTGTCGCGACGGTATCGATCACATGTTTGAAAAAGAAACCTCCCGCGAAGAAAATAAAATATTTGGAAAATCCAGGCAACGTCTCGCCGACTGACACAAGGGAGATGATGGACAGGAAGACGAAGAGCTACGAAAGTCTGTAAAGGCGATGAACGGTTTAATCTAGTTGTTAATTTATAGCGAATCCTTTAACATGTTCGTTATCAGGATCGAATAGCACAAAGGACTTAATCTCGCTACTTCATTTGCATACAACCCTCTCGGAGTTCCGATTTGGCTTGAGAAAGGGTGAACCGACAGATGCAATTAACTCATTCGTAGTCCTCCACCCCTGACTCAAAAAATAAACTGTCCGCTGAACGGCAAACAGGATGCAGATCGCGCCGCAGAATAATAAACCTCGACCGTAATTCGAAAATAAAATGGTGGAAACCGGGAATAAGAAGATATCCCCGAATGAAAACTGCATATTATTGGATTTTATCATTTCATTACGAAAATTGTAATAATGCGATAAGACGGAATAATTTTAATTTCCACCAAATTCTAATGAATACGATAAAAAAAAAAGAATTTGCAATTGGGAAGAAACAAAATGTCACAGTAAAAATAATTTTTTGGTTGGACAAGAAAGATTCAACGGCGAATGTGTAAGAATATAAATATCGAAAATCAATATCAGCTTTCAAAAAATAGATTTCGTGTAACAGGACAAATTCTATCTCCCGTTCGAGCTCACCGTGCTTTACCGCTTATATAAAACAAATTCTGTCACATCGTGTTACACCGATTCCCGCAACCGTATTTCGAAATGTTTCGATATCAACCACTCGCTGAATTCTCGATTTCCAATCTTTCAGTCGAGTGTACCCTGGGAAATTGAAACTGAAATACCTTGCGCCACTTTAACGAACCGCATGAAATAGAAGATTCGCGGGGAGATTCTAAAATATTAAACCGATATAATCCTCCGTGTGCTATGTCAGGTAATACCGTGTGGTATTTATATTTAACCACAGCGCCGCGTTTACAATCGAGTTTAAATTTTCAGTTTTCAATTTATCACTGGCGAGTCTTCCGGTCCAACTATCTCAAATTAAAAGAGGATTACACCGTCTAATGAAAATTTTCGCGCGCACGTGTATGTGTGTGTGTGTGTGTGTGTGTGTGATTCGTAAGTTTTACTTACGAATCTTACTGAACGAGAGAATGTTCTGCGAAACATCTTTTATGAAAAAAGCGACAAGTAAGAAAAGGAACGGTTTGCCATGACATAAGGAAGATTTTTCATGGGTAGCTCTATTTTTGACGAAATCAGAAAAATGAATGTCATAGATGAGCCGAGAGGAAACGGAGTAAAAGAACGACAAAAGGAAAGGAAAAAAATAGGATAAAACTAGATTCGCGACCACTGCCGCGTTCCGTAAAATCGTCCGCGATGTCAGCGAAATCGTCGCGTTTCCTCGGGATCGCTTCTGTAACGCGAAAGATAAGACTCACCCTTTGCGCCGTAAACGTGATTTCCCTCCGAGTGGAAAAATTTTCTTTTCTTCGCGTTCTTTCGCCCGACCAAAAGGAGCATCCCGCCGAGCCTTTTCGCTCGGTTGATAAAAATCCTTCTAAATCTTGCCGAAGCTTGCAAAAGCCGGTACCCACGGGACGATTCGCTCTGAGAAATACTGTCCCGTTGGAAGACGCGAAATTTGCATCTAACGACTCGCGATCGCGCAAATAATCTTCTGTAGAAACGCGCCGTCGTAAAGAAGTACTTGAACGAATTGAAAAGTGGGCCTACCTTTGTGCCTCAAACGGATATGCTGTCAAACGGTGAGACTTAAATTCTTTTTTCGTGAAACTCAAACAAGTTCCAACTTTCTCGTTGAAAATTACAGTTGGTATTTGAATTATTCGGTACAATACACCGAAATTCTCTCTTTGTATAACCGCGAGGTATTATTTTAAGAAAGCTGAACGAAGGGACGTCGAATATAAAATTTCGACGAAAGCGCAATTCCACTTACCGCCCTCGTGCTGTACGCCTGGTTCACGTTGTTGACGTTGTTATTGATGTGATTGTTGTTGTTGAGGTGATTGCTGGTGGAGTTGGTAGTGGAGTTGTTGTTGCTTGCGTGATGATTCGAGTGGTTCCCATTGTTGTGCTTGTTATGCTTGTGCAGCACCATCGCGGCGAACATGTCGAATGTCTACCGCGCACCGTAAGCACGCGGAACGAGCAGGATAGTCTTTCGAAAATGCGCCGACCTCACTACTCCTCGTTTCACCGCATGACTCGAGCCGTCCACTTCGACTGACCGAGCTAAAATACCGCGCGTTCGATTCGTTGCGACAGTCAACAACAAATGTGAGAAAATTGTGCGTCTGGTGGATGGAGAGACCTTCAAACTTTTTATAACTCTTGGAGAATCGAAGAATTTCTTTCTCGATAAATTTTGCAATATGCTCGAAAAAAATTTTCTACTTCAATATGTTTTGCTTATCCTAAAGTAAAGACATTAAGACACTTGCCTTAACAAATTCGTAATGTCTTTCAGTTTTTTAAGATTAATAGAGTTACAAAAGGATAGTCGTTTACCGAGATGCGTGTAGAAATTGCGACAGTAATAAATTGTGCTTCAGCTTCAACACTGAAAATCGAAAAAACTTCGCTCGACTTTCGTCTAAGATTCTGGTACACAACAGACGATTTACTGCTTCACGAAGAAAGGCTAATTTCATTTCGGCGCCTGCGGAACGACGAGGATACCATGCGGCTTGCGAATCCGTATAGGAAACCGCGTGTAATCGAAGCACAATTGAATGAGCAAAAAAGCTTCTCGGACTTTCTCCCGTTAATTTCATTGAACGAACTCACCGCGTAATGGAAAACAACGGCAAAACCGCAGATGCAGCAGTTGGTATCTTGTGATTGTTTATGATGCCGCGAATCGGGGTTCGAAACGCGTGATAAAGAATTTTCTGCTTATATTTTGACGGAATATCTGTCTTTGGACGCGAAGTACTTTCTTTCGCTCACTTTTCCGATGTGTATTATGCGCAATAAACTTACAACGCATACGCTTTACGAACTTCTCGCACCGCACTCGTCGGTTTAAAAAGACTGCTACTACTTGTAGAATAGCCAAGAATACGAATGTAATACGCGCGAATGTGTAAAGCCAACCGGAGTTTTTGCGGTAACAACAGCCAATTAGTAATTAGCGTAAAATAATTATTTATCCTCGTCATCCTCGTGGCCTTCGATGACTAATGCGCCGCGGCGATAATGTGGAGACTTAAGTGCAGCTTTTTACATCATCGGAATTGACAATGAGTCATCGATCGTAGTTAAATTGTATCACGTTCTTGGATCGTTGAACGCAATAGGTTTCTCTTGCGTAATCTAATAACGCGTATAAATCGCGGTTTCAAAATTTGTTATAAACTTTTTGATTAAATATCGAAAGATTATGATAAACGATAAAGAAATCATTTGTTGACAATCAAATCGCAACGGAATCAGAAATGCTTGCTACATATCTAAGGTCAACCGCGTTTAAAGGCGCGTTCGAAACGCGAGAACCGTTCTTGCAAATAAGAGAAACACTGCACGCGAGGAACGCACCGGCTGCCGGCACCTATCGATTTGTTATAAATAGTCAGGTGCAGCGAACTGCGGCTATTCATCTTCTCTCCCTCTCTCTATCTCTCTGTTGGCTTCTCCCTCCCTCCCCGCCACCATTTAACGTAGCAACCATCCATCCCTCTTTCTCTTTGGTTTGTGTAACGTGTAACGTCGATCGGATCTCCACAAACCACGATTTTCATTGTAAACATCGTTTACCACATGCTGCATATACGGAGGGATGTAACCTTCCATTACGTCGATCTAAGGCACCGCCGCGCCGCGGCCGATAAATTGTTTAAAGTGCCGTTTTAACTTCGTTCCTCTTTCTCTCTATCCTTCGATTTGATATATGAGATCCCTGTCACTTGTATTACCATATGACTTTGTTACGACCACATTTACTGCAGTTCAATCGTGTGTATATAATCCTTGCTCTCGAATAACTTTTTTTATATCTCAGATATCAGAGATATATTACGTGAGAGTATTACGTTTAAAATTTTATTTCCAACACATTTAATTTGCTTAAATATCTAAAATATCTCGATGTACCCATCATCATCATGCTGTGATAAAGAAAATATATGATATCAAGAGCTATTTTATATTTACAATTCAACATATCCTTTTCCTTTTGCTCCTACATAAAACTACTCATGATTTGAATAACGAGCGATCATAAAAACTGCCTGCAATAAATGTTCGCAATAAATTAATTAACTCAAGTCGCTGTAATTCCTGACAAACAAATACCGATGAGGGAATACGTTAAAATATAGGCCATCGTAACAATGTATTCAAGCAAAGTGGGCGATGCGTTGGTTGTCGATCTATCTGTGAACGGGGCTGTCAATACGAATATTTATCTGAAGAGTTAATGACGCAAACGGTATAACTCAAACGATTGTAACGTCCTACGAAAAGCCATTACAACGAGATGTCCTCCTCGGAAGACTCGTTGGTTCGTGTACCGTACGTATTTACTGTTAATTGGAATAGTTATTCGAACTCGGTCGAGCTGATTGGCCGATGCAGGATTGGCCGGATGTCTCGCGGCAGGTGGGGCTCCTCGGTCTAACGCACAACGTAACGCGGTTAGCGCCATGGCGATAATTGCGACCAGAACATCGCCTTGTAATCGAATTGGGTCGCGCGTGAATCCCGGTCGCCTCTTGCATTACGATCATCGTGATATTCGCTTCGCGCTCTTTGTAATTCCGCGTCGCGAAAACTACGTAGTGTATGAGATAAGTCGAGATAAATTCTTTAACAACGGATAGTCGAAAATGTATATGCGACTGCTTTTACAGAATACGATTCTGGAAATCCTGTTACATAATCGGTATCGGTGACACCGTTTTAACTCTCTGTGTTTTTATTGCCTGGAAACAGCCAATCGATTTACTCATGGCTCTCGAGCCACCGACAAGCGCGGATAGTAATGATCATAAAGTAGATTGTATAAAACCGCGATAATTAAAAACTTTTCCAACTTAATATTCAAGTCATGTTTAAGCCTCCGCTGGAGATCACAGCGAAAGAATTCAAGTTACATATAATATCGTTAATCGATTTCAAATTGTACAGAAAGCAATGAACCGACTGTCATTAAAAGAGATTGTTGGCTTGATCATTTAAAAAAAAAAGAAAAAAACAGATTATTGGCCGTAATCGAGTGCGTTTTCATTCATGCATCAACGGGATTCAATCGCGGTAACTTTTCCAATTAATTGAACTGAAATCTCTGTAGAAAAAGGGATTAATTAAATTTATCGATACGCATCGCGCCGCAATTGCCCATGGCAATTGAAACGAGAAAATCAAATATATCTATTTTTTCTATTTGTCGATACCTACTCGTCTTTTTATGTATTTGAAAAATACTGATCGTTGTAAGTTGATTGCATGTCTTTCTCGAATACTAAACCGATTGTTAAGATTCTAGACCTCTTTTCATTTTAAAAAATGTTGCAGCATAAAAAATTCATATCGTAATATAGAAACAGAATAATTTTACGTGCATGATTGTAGATTTCGTCGCGGAAAGAGTTCGTTGGTTGATTCACTTTGGGAAACGCCGTTTCGCAGGATTTTCCATTAACTGCATTGCCCTCGAGCGAGCGGCGCAATCCTTATTCGCGACGATAGGATGTCGACGAAGGATTTGGGCGAAGGTCGGTTCCAGTTCGTAAAGCCGAGCGTATAAAGTTTTCGCCGCGCGTTCGTTGTTTTGCAGAACGAAATCGGGCGAGTTTCTTGTCGTGCACCGGCAACGCGGCAAGGACAACGGCAGAGACGACGAGTTCAGACAAATATTTCGGCAAAAAATACTCCCTTAGCTCTTCGACATTACGCTACTCCGCTTTTCGTGTTTGCATGACTTTCAATTCTACAAGATTTCCGTCTCGCTTGATTCGCATTTCATTTCAATTTCAAGTTGAAATAATACATTTCAGCGAGCATGACTTCATTAAAGATTCAGGACTTAGTAAATAACGTATTGTAGAACAAAGTTGAATTAGATCTTGGAAAATTCGCCTTTGTAATATCGCGTATACATAAGTGAGAGAGTAGATTATGACACTAATGATCTCTTTCTTTCTCGCGATACTTGTGGAAGAAATTCGAAGAAAGTCGCGTTTTCTTTGACGAACGTTCTGTTTGGAAGAGTTCGAGCCCAAGCGATATTCCGCTTCACATGCAATGACGAGAGCACTTGTGTTTGATTTACGATACATTGGACAAGGAGATATTATAGTGGTGTATCATATAAAGATATTGAAAACTCGCCGCAGAGACGATTTACGATCACGTCGAGCAAGAAAAGATGAAACCGTCGTATAAAAACATCATGGATCTAGCGACTCCATTTTCTTCTTTCCCTCTTCACGCACAGGAAATTCCAATCGGTCATGTTATAGACTATCCATCTTTTCGCCAGTTGATATCTCAATGCATCAATGTCATTAATCCATTCCTAATTAATTAACCATAATTACGTAATGGACGTGAAGCAGACCAACTGGGTACCTCGCGGTAATAATCATTGAAACAGATGATTTTGCTTGATTGTCCATCTACCTCGCAGAAATGAAACAGTTACAATCATTTGACGTGTCTCTAGTATAACAATCTTCCAACTGCGCTCTAACTGTTCACGAACTGCTCGTTAGGCAAATGTGTTCAGACGCTTCGGAGCAGCGAAGTAAAGATTGTTTAATCTCACCGATGCGCTAAATTTTCGATCGGATGAAAAAAAAAGACGCAGTCTCAGTCCTAGTCGACGTATATTCCAGACGCAGCCAGAACTCGTGTAATCTACATGTTCTCTCGCGCAACATGCATCCATCGTTACACGACTGGTTATATAACGCACGTGCGCGCGTATGAGTATACATATGACGCAACGATGCATGTGCATCCCCGGGGAGGGCCAATATGGATGTAGAATATATAGTCGCACCGACACGGTACATGCAATGTCTACCTTTATCGAACTTTCGCGGCACGTGGAAAAAAAAGCGCTTAGCCTGAGCGACGGCGACCGGAACAAAGCGCGACGATAGCTGCTGGCTACAGAAATGGCTGATTTTACTACCGTTTTTTTTTTAATACGCGACGGCCGGGCCGTCACAACGAGACTGCCCGATAATTGTCGGAAGTGCAAACAAACCAATATCTACGATAAAAAA